ACCAGTGTATTGTCTTGTATTCCCACTTCATCTTACATCATGCATTAATATCGCTAATGGGACATGAAACTAGAGCATTTTCATTTTTCGTGTGCACCGATTGGCGTTTCTTTAGTCGTAGTACAACCAAACACCATTTTACGATTACAATTATGTCCTTTGTGGTAGAAATCAATTCGAAGATTGTGGCCAGCGAGGGCATTGGCAAGAGTAAATTCTTGCCGCTCGCAATTTTCGCAAAATTATTTCAAATCATATCCATTAACTTCTTTTGATCAGAAAGTACAAAGAGAATTAAAGGCATAGTCGGACACTACCCCAGGTAAGGTAAGGCGCTAACTGTCATTACTGTCACCTGCTTACCTGATGTTATCGTTTGATATGTACGAAGATTAAGAACAATGTGCACTAATCAGTTCAAGATATAGTAAAGGTTCGCTTAGTTGAGGAAGTCGATTTATTCCCTATTGCGGAATTCAAATTAGGGCAAGTGCACCCAGTCGTGCATGTGATGTGTTAAGCCTTCTGGGTTTTCATAACTTTGATAACTTGACATTCGTTTAGTGGAAAGGGGTGTGCCGCGCTTCGTGCGTGTTAATTGGATATCTACTGAACCAATTGGAACGCGTTAATGATACCACACCTCCGAAAGAAAACTCGCGCACCGGAATGGGATTGTAAAAAGTTGGAACGACTGATGAAATTGAATGCTTTTAGTGACGGCATTCCGCCGTCAAAACACTGCAGTGCCTCTTGATGCACTCTGGGAGTCAAAATAGGCTGCCTCTGTCTACATGTAGTTTTTCACGTATTGACAAATGTTCGCATTCCAGAAATGGAATGGAATGGGGTTAATTATGCGTTTTCCCATACGTTTCGACAGGTTCTACGATGGATAGTGGAATGTGTAAATGTACTCTTTTATAGAAATGAGATTCGCTGAACAGACAAAAATATCCTGATTGAAACCTCATAATGAAATAGATATTGAATTACAATCTTGGGAACAAATTAACTCAAATTGCAGTAAAATACCCCATTAGCCAGACGCTAGGTGCTTTAAGCTAACGATATCATAGAAAAATTGGCCGTCAATTTTAAAAGCTCTTGAAGAATGGGTGATCGAATCTACTCAATATTAGTTCAAGAATTTGAGTTATTGACCGTGTGATTTATTATTTTTGACAACTGGAAAGCACCTGTAATGATTGCAACAATCAGAACAACAATGCAAGGGATGCCCGGAACGCTTTATCTTTGGAACAGTCTGAACATTATTAAATAAAACGAAAAAAGAAGTGAAAATGATAAATGAATGAAAAGAAATAAATCTAACTTGCTATCGCTGAGTTATTGTTGGGATATGGATATTTTCTCTAAAAGGGAACTTTTAAACGCAAAAGTGACACTGATAATGAAATATTAGTTACACACTTGATTTCATAGAAATAAATCCCCTGGTGAAAAAATTAACACGGAACAGCCAGAGGAAAAATGTCATTGGTGTAGATTTCCATGGAAATCATTCAATCGCAACCGCAACATAGTGATAACATATTTCATTCACATAAACCGCGAGTGAAGCCTTCATCCGCCAAGAAAAAATTAACTCTTTTTTTTAGATTTGGAGAGCACCTAGCTTGATTTAGTAATTAATCACCATACTTAAAGAAGTTAAACAATTTACCCTCCCGTTGATAAGTGGCAATAAAACGGTGGTTTATTCTGCAAATTTTGACTACAGGGGTGTACTCAACTAATTAAAGTTTCATTTGTCTGCTTCTTTTCCTTTTCCTTTCGTTTTTTTTAATTATCTAAAATCTTAGTTAAAGCAATGGACTGAACTGAAATCTTTTTATCTAGGTCAGTGATAAGACTATGCCTGGTTATAGACTAGTATTCTGTGCAATATACATGCTCTTTCTTATATTTTGTGTCATACGTTATCTCTTACAAATCAGGAAAGACCCCAATCAAATCAAACCTCTGTACACGAAATGTATGGCTGTCTAAATATCAAACTAAAGTATTTAGGATAAAAGTTTCCGATAGCTAAAATGCTATCTATTGACTTTCCTCTCCTTGCACTGAAAGAGTGACTGAAAGCCGCATGAGTGCCTACTGAGAGGGATGGATTAGCTGCCAGGAAAAATATGTGACTTTGTCTTATTTCGAAGAAAACTCCAACATGGGTTAAAATAGAATTTCCTCGTTATTATTGAGGTAATAACAACACTTATGTCCGTCTGAAGCCTGTAACAAGTCATCATTACAAACCACGCCGGGCAGAATAAGTAAAAGAAAGAAACCCTTTAGTAGCGGGACTACGTCAACACTGATAAATTTGGCCGAATGCCATTTAGATGAAATTAATGCGACATTATGAGCTTCCCATGGGATCCATGTTACAAATAATCTCGGTGTCTGTTATACAAATTACGGAGAGAAAAATCGTAGAAACCAGTAGACCTAGGCATAGGTTTTGGGAACCCCTACATTGAAGGTGTGCCAGACCAAATGGATGTTTGAAAATCGCAAAATAAACGACCCTGTTAAGTAAAAATGATCGTAAGAAAAATGGCGACAGGAAAGTGTGGTTATTATTCCCCATTGTAGTGATTTTGTGCACGTGACACGAAATTATAACGTATCTTAAATGAACAACATTTTTAGAAGATTTTATTGAAAATTATTTCATAGCAGGAGCCAATTTATCGACCCAGATTATCACTGACAGATTAACAGCAGGCAGTCAAGCCGTAGGTCTATTCTTATGGGTTGAGACATGAATGCGATATTACTATTCGAGTTGCAAACGACAAGCATGAAGATATACAGTGGACTCCACGAAACGCAGACTCTTAAGGGTCTGAAATTTGTTGGAATGTATGTAAGATTCGAATTAGGCAATGTCCATGCAGGTTTCTGTTAAGGATAAGAAAAAAAAAACATGAGCTCAACAAGAATTGTCTTAAGGGCTGAGTGAAATTAGAACAAAGAGTAAACCATGTATTGTATATCACATGACAAATAGTGAAGATAATAACCTAACATAAAAAGATAAAAAAGGTAAATGTAGAAATAAAAAAGCTGTTGTATGCAACTTTTTTGCACGTTGCTAATATTTCACCTGACATTACTTTATTACTGTCATATAGGGCTAAAAGTTATGCACAAAGATCACGGATTGCGACTTAAAGGATGGGTTCAAATGGCAATGGTTTATGTGATTTGATGAACAGAAATATTAAAACGGTTATATACGAATATCTACTGCATAAATGCAATCATTCTTGCGAACTTTTGTGCCTAAAACGAGAAGCACATTTGCCAAGAGCAATATTTTTTCATTCACACGGCGGTTAAATAAAACAGGCCCGCAGAAAAAGACGACTTCATCAGATTCCAGGTGCATCAAATCAAGGGTGATGAATCACCAGATCTAATTAAATTTTCATATTGTTTTTAGAAGCAGTGATACATAAAAGAAATAAAAGGACTATCTTAAACGCGTCACGTACCACGCCCTGTGCATCACAATTGATCACTTATGTGATTCAACATTTATGCTATTTAGTGACATCAATTCTCACTTAACCCTCTCACTTAAAAAAAAACTATCCCGGCAATTCTTACCTTCGCAATAAATTTAAGTCTGCAAGCACACCTTTCCCTTACTTTACACAAATCTTCATTTCTTATCAATTTTATCATTTTACAAAGAGAATACAGCACAAATTATGAAATTTATTTTTTGGCAAACTCTATTTATCTTTCCACGTGGAGGTCTTCCCTGTTGCGCGTTGTACTTGAAAACATAAGCAGTTTTACCAAAGTTAAAACCATTCCCCAAGTCACATGTGACTTATCAGGTTTGATATTACTTACTTCTGTTGTATTTCGAACATCTTAACCCAGCCCGTCAGCACAAGGTCAATTACGCCAGAGATTCATCATTTTTCTAAGTGTACAAGTCTGTAAAAACTTGTCTGAAAAGTATGTGAAAGTATCTGGAACGGATCCAATGTTTTAATGAATGCTTCGGGCATCCGTAACACACACCGTTGTTTTATTTTCGCATTTAATAAACGCTGCATTCTAAGATTTCGTACAATCTTAGTGCTGAACAAAGCATGTACTAGAAAACTCATTGTAAATCGTAGTATTCCAAAGTATCAATGAAAACACTAGGGACAATTCCCATTCGACAAAAAGTAGTGACTCATCGCCCGTTGAGATATATTTAGATTGGAACGGATCCAATGTTTTAATGAATGCTTCGGGCATCCGTAACACACACCGTTGTTTTATTTTCGCATTTAATAAACGCTGCATTCTAAGATTTCGTACAATCTTAGTGCTGAACAAAGCATGTACTAGAAAACTCATTGTAAATCGTAGTATTCCAAAGTATCAATGAAAACACTAGGGACAATTCCCATTCGACAAAAAGTAGTGACTCATCGCCCGTTGAGATATATTTAGATTGGAACGGATCCAATGTTTTAATGAATGCTTCGGGCATCCGTAACACACACCGTTGTTTTATTTTCGCATTTAATAAACGCTGCATTCTAAGATTTCGTACAATCTTAGTGCTGAACAAAGCATGTACTAGAAAACTCATTGTAAATCGTAGTATTCCAAAGTATCAATGAAAACACTAGGGACAATTCCCATTCGACAAAAAGTAGTGACTCATCGCCCGTTGAGATATATTTAGATTGGAACGGATCCAATGTTTTAATGAATGCTTCGGGCATCCGTAACACACACCGTTGTTTTATTTTCGCATTTAATAAACGCTGCATTCTAAGATTTCGTACAATCTTAGTGCTGAACAAAGCATGTACTAGAAAACTCATTGTAAATCGTAGTATTCCAAAGTATCAATGAAAACACTAGGGACAATTCCCATTCGACAAAAAGTAGTGACTCATCGCCCGTTGAGATATATTTAGATTGCTGAAGTCATACGTGATGCGGTCGCGTGGCATGAACTTGATATTAATATTCGGAAATATGGGGTTGATTTGACGAGGTCAGAGAAAGTCATACCCGGGGCGGCTTAAGTAGAAGGAGGGGCAAGCGTTTGTATATATATATAGTTGATAGCTATCGACTTCACCAAGAGAGCAACTTAGATCACGAAGAAACAGAGACTTGTAGAAGAGATTCTATACACAGTGCTGAAGGAAGAGCAAAGGCAAAGGAGACTGAGACAAGACAAGACAAGATAATTCAGGACAAGAACATAGCTAGACATATAGGTAAGTTGCTTTGTTGCTTGGATGAATGGTCTTTCTTCACGTTCATGCTACCACTGTGCAGCAGCGTGCTAACTAAATTCAACAGGTAAGCCTTCACGTAAAGAACACTTCGCAGCGACTCGTAGAATTCAAGAAAGCAAAAATTAAATACGTTATTCCAAAATAACACTTATGAGTGGTATGTTTTACAGTGACCGCTCTGTTTTCATATGCAAATACAAATAATTTTCTGAGAAAATATGATAGATGTCTACTTATGACTTAGGAAATGAATGTCACAAGATGGTCATTTTTCACAGTCAAAACGCACGTAATTGAGTGTCAGTTGTTTCTTCGACAAAAAAGTGGAATCTTGCTACAGATGTATAGGAAGGTTAAAGGACAAGGAAGTGAAAATGTGGTTTGGGATATTTTTTCTGAGGTTTGCAATTCGAGGAATACTAAGAGCACGGCGGCACCTAAGAGTCAGATAGGCCATTCCATTACTTATTGGCTTAAACTCATGCAGATCTTTGAATTACTTGTGGCTTATTGAGATTTAGAGTGGCAATTAACTGCAAATGAGAGGAATTATCGGCTTTAAATGGTCAGTGAAACGGATTTTGATCGCCTTTTCGATAATTTCTCCAACTCGATGTCACCGTGACCCTTTTCATTCGATCTTTGAAAACATTTTGTCAAAAAGCGCTTTCCTGATTATTTTTCTGATTTCGACGGTCCGCTAAAATTCACATCTCTTTTCTTGATACATGTAGGACATCATGGCTGAGTTTCGATTCCGATGTTATTTTTTGACAATGTATTATATTTAAGTGTTTTAACATGCCATAATTAAATCATTCAAACGTTGTTTTAATATAAAAAACTTCGGTTTGCATGACAATGCGTTCTGAAATCATCTTGAGCATTAAAGAACAACTGATCATAATGCGTTATGTCTGTGGTAGTTTCATAATGAATTCATACTTCTGGAAATTTTGAATATTACATTGAATTTCACTAAACAGAAGAGCGAAAAATAGATAACTTATATAGTCTCTTAAAGGATGGTAATTCCATAGCATAGAAATAAAGAAATTACTATATTGTAAGATACAAAAGCTCTTGCCCAAACTTAGTTGATATGTAGGACATTATTCACTGCCGTACATGTTAGATATACAGTATATATATATAGTGTGCCCTGTCATCTAACGTCAAAGAAATACTGAGAAAAACATTAGACGTTTATTAAGTTGATCATCCGTATTTGAAGATATCCAGCTGAGCGTTCAGTTTTATGTATATCTTAATGGGTTCAGGGACCCTTATGTTCTCCATTTGGAACTTCAAACTGTATTGATTAATACAGAGACAGTACATCAGCACTCATCATAATCAACACGAGCTGACATTTCCCGTACGTAACAAAATAAGCCAGGCATTATAATTTTTCTCAAATTTCTACATTATCTCAATTTATTGGTCAATTCCTTTGCAACTTATCTAATGTGAAGTGCTTGTCACCGTGGAGTAATCCAATCAGGCAAGGCAGATCTAGCAGGTTTAATAATTTCTACAACATCAACGCCAAAAGTGGTTACAGCTCGCCTCCCCCATCCACTACCAATGTTTCCTACTATCCAACCATCCCCATGTTAATATTGTTACTTAATTGCCTGAAAAACAGGAAATTAAAGATAAATGCGTCAAATACTCGGCGCAAAACACTCGGAATCTGTTCTCTTAATGTCCAGTGTCACCTGCACCTTTTCCATTAATTGTGTCTCTGCGTTTTTTTATTCCATGTTTTGCACTTCGCTTGGTCTGCGTCGAATTCGTTGCTGCATATTGTTTGACAACTGCCACAGTGGGTGTGTTTGTGTGTATCGATGATAACGGTTATTTTCCTATCTGTTTAGAGACAAAATATTTCATAAACATTGCATACGCATTTCTTATTGGGAGTAGGTTAATATAAGTATAGAGCTTATGGTATACCTTTGCATACCTCCGGAAAAGCAATGAGTTCACTCCTGTTACTCTACGGCCCAACCTGCTGATGCCTGTTCCACAGCTTAATTTTCACAACCTCAGACTGATATATCCGAGTACCCCTTAGTTCATTTAATGAAGAAGAATCCAAACAAAATTTTCTAATTACGAAAAGAAATCCTATGGGATTTAAAAGAAATGGAAATATAGAACTACCGACTCCTACTCGCGTCTGTTTCAATGGTCATGCATATATCATTAGCCATGCTTAATTTAAAGCGGCTTCTGTTTGTACTGTACATGTAGTTGTTTGTTATGAAATAGTCCTAGTTCACTTAATGAGAGTGCGTCATCATCGCTCACTGGGATGAGGATTCGATTAATACCAATTGTATGAACTGTTAATTCTGAATAATGTCTCTTAGGTTCAGATCCCTTGTGTATAATTGAACATTTAACAGAGTTGTATCAAAACAAGGAATTCTGCTCTATGGTAAAATGGGGTGGGGGGTGGGTGGGGGCGTGGGGGGGGGGGTAATGCACCCTTTTTAAAAGTTGACATATCGATGACAGAAACAAATAACACTTCCAGCAGCTATGTATTCATTAGTAATCCCCGTCGACGGCTTTTCCTATGTAAAACAAGAGAAATTGTGTTTTTATCATGGGAAGACACTCTGGGTAACGCTCAGATTTTCAAGTTGAAATTTGTCTTGAAATGATATCACACCCACACCCTAGGACTGCAGTGTAAAACAGACGACCACAAGAATGAAAGACAGAATAACACTGAACATTGCACAGCTTAGGAGACCACAGCCTAACCAAGGGAATTGCTATTACAGATATGAAATTGCCACAAATTATACCGGTCAGTGGATATGCACTACAGATCAAAGAGCTGATTATCATATTTTCTTTCTCTCTCGCAGTACTGATCATTCATTCTATAGGGGGCTTGTCATGACCAGAACACACCCATGTTTGCATTCCCCTTCCCACTGATATGATTGACAGTTGCCATAGTGATGCATGTAAAACACAATAACTTATAACGTTACAAGGTCCTTTTTTTAATAGAGTGATAGAAAACTGGTTTTGAGTTCAAATTAATTTCCTCTCCCAGTTGGTCTCAACTTCCTGTCCCCAATGTCGGACGTTAAGTAGCCTTAGCAGGTGGTTGGTAGACAGGACAGGCAACTAATGTAAAACTACCTGTTTTTCTTTTATACTTTGGCAGCACTCGTAGCTTCAACGTTTTCATATGGCAAGGCGGTGTATTATGCCACGTTAAATCTGAATAAACACGAGTGACACTTTTGACAACGCGAGATGGAATGACGTAAAAGAACTAATATACGTGCCTAAAGCCTAATGCAAGGAAAATCGGAGGCTTAATTAAAGCCACGTGCGCTTGTTTTAGGCTTTTGTGTTACCCGCGAAATATTCCATGAAACGGGTTTCGATATTATCTGTCGATACTTTCCCCTTAATGTCTGCTGTCATCTTCACCCACCTCATTCATTCATTGAAAGAATTGTATTCAAAGCGGAATTCTGGACTAATTTTTGATTAGCATTCATCTTCTAACACGTCTCCACGCGTGATCTCGTGTCATTTTTAACTAAGGGAGTTTAAATGTTTAAACGATGCCATATCTTAAACAGTTATCACTCACAAATTTGACTTTACCTTGATTAAAAAAAAAAAGAATATGAAAAAGACCTTCAAATGGCTTTCATTGATTCCGCGATCTATGACGAGACATCGGATTTGTTGAGGTTGATGAACTACATGTATTTATTTGAAACAAGTAGGTGTATTAACCACAGGTTTCAGGTAATCATCATTTCATTTGGCATCCCTGAACTTCGTTCATTAGGTTATGGCTTTGGTTTAAATGGTGTGTTGTTTTCACAGCTCAAGCCTTTAAAAAGTTTCTAAATCCAAGGACAGATGAGTTTGAAGGCTTCCTGTTAAATTGTTCAGAAGCTTTAGAAATTGTGTCTAAGCTGAAACTCAGTGTATTGGCTTAGCCACATAATTTAAGTGACATATTATAACAAGAAGCAACTCTGATTAAATCATTATTCCCTCCAGGGGTTCTTTTATCAAGAAAAAGGCTCTGACGTACAAGTTCCGTGACTATATCAACGCGTTGTTTCCCGTTCTGCGCCAAACTGGTGCAGAAACCGTTGGCAGAGGTAGGGGTGCAGTCTCGATATTACTCTGCTCTGGATAAAGACTGACGGGGTTTTTTGTTTTAGCACGACAAAATTGAAGGGATGTATTTCGTGAATTTCTGTCATGGTTTTGTTGTTTAGAGAGACGTTTAGATAGACGTTTACTATTGATATCAGAAAACATTTTTCATGTTGTGTGTAAAACAGTAGTAAGCTTCACACCAGAGTTGAAGTTAAATCACCACAGCATCTACGAACGGTATACGCCGAGTGTCGAGATTAAGTACGATATTCTTTCAGGAGGTGCATAGTCTCTTTGTTTTTTCATGGTCTAACAAGAGTAGAGCGACACGTACAGATGAGAAACTTAGTTTGCGTGAGAGGAAAAATACATTTCCTTTCTACATTAAATACATTGGACCTATTTTATGTTATAGATATGGAGAAATAACGTCTGCCATCCAGTTGCTACTACTCCGTTAGTATCGGCCTCTCATTTTTTTGTTAGTATAAATCATTTCTTATGCTATACGGGAGCTTTCTTTCTACGTGCCTTTGTCACATAACTCTTAAATAATTTTCTTAATCGCGTTTTTGCAATATACCTCGTCCTGGTTGTTTCTATTCCACTATGAGTAAATCATTTTTTTATCTTTTCAGTTAAACCATGGTATCAACAAGAACATTCTTAGTGGGATTTGCCTTCTTCATTTTAGTCGTAGAGTGCACAAGCTATCAAGTAAAAGGTTGCCGTGAGGACTGGGATTCGGTAAGACAGATGTAGACATCATTTAAATATTTTGATATTTTTAGCGCTTATATAATTCGGTTAAGATTGGTAATTTTCATTTGCTTGTTAGTTTTTTGCTTAAATCCGGCAGTGAAATCTTTTTTTCAAGAAAGGGAAGTACTGTCCTATACGTACACATGAAGGTCTTCTACTGTTCATCGATCATTTTAGAGAAATAATCTGAAATGTAACAAAAAGGCATTTTGTCATACATCTTCTAAATGAACGGAGATTAGAAACATTATCGCGGAGAAACATGCTTTCTAATTGCCTGGAATGACTGCCATCTACAATGACTACATAATCCAACTAACACTGCTGATGATAATGGTTTGGGTAATGTGGTGATGCAATGGGGATTAGGGCAACAGAAAGGGACAATTACTTCCTTAATAATGAAAAAAGAGGAAAGTGACAGGGTTCATTACACTAGCGGTAGCTGAGCCCTCTAAAACACAAAAGAAGACCAGCGAAATAGTTCATGAATGGCTTTACAGTGAATCAAACTGAAAAGGCGCTGAGGTCAGATATGACATGTTTCTCAGCACCATTTTTCGACTAGGAACTTGGCATACGTTTACAGTACTGTAGGGTTCACGGGGGGGGGGGGGGATCCAGGATCTTGCTCGGAGGGTGAAAAATGTTTTGCCACCCCCCCTTTCTTAGCAAAACCTTGGATACACCAAAGAATACTACAGTGCTGAAAGATCAAAAAATCAAACGAGGACTGTTTTGCTGTAATATGTAGGGCCCAAGAATGTTAACATTGTATGCACTTGTATGATTTTGTCCCATTTCGCTTGTTAAATTAATTTTGGGGAGAGACGATGGGGAGTGCCGAGGCTAAAGTCGAAGGCAGGTTGCCCACTATGCTTCCCCCTCGGCGTTGGCATATCATTAGAATGACCCCTTTCCTCAACGAGTTGAACAATAACTGCATTTCCCCATGCTTGCAAAACAAACCAGATTGTTTATTCGGTGTGTCAGATGAAATGATATAATTACATTAAGGTTAATCAATAATATTATCATTATATCTCTGGTCCCACATTGCCATGTAAAAAGTTCAGTTCATGTTTTCGGTACAGAACCTTCTACCACAGGGACATATATTGTCAGAACAAATATAGTCTTTCAGTCTCACATTGGCAATAAATATTCCAAGAGGGCGGATAAAACGCCCTTTAACCCTAAAACAGCGACAGTTCTTGGAAACACTCTTCGCATTAAAAGGAACATTATCGAGAACCTTCGAGCAAAGTACGGTTCCAACCCTTGCGATATGATTGCTGCTTCGGATGTGTAGCGTCTCTAAGCAGTCTTTAGAAAGCCAACCACGCTTCTAATGGCTTCTCCGGGAAATCAGCTGCCGTTTGTGCATTACAAAGATAGTGTTCACCGCACTGCTGATTGGGTGTTCTAAACCATGAAGTTTCCTGCGCTAACTGCTGTTTGAATGAGAATAAAAAGCAGTTGTGCTTAGTCTTAATAATGCTTAGTGATTTGGCACTATTTCACGTGTCACTTTACGGTACTCATTCTTACTGTGTCTAAAATAAGCGGTTTTGATTTGAAATTTTTAAAGAGAATTAATTAAAATTAGCTTTGGTATTCGGTTAGCACTATTTGCATTAGACTATCCCTAATATTATGCAGGAAACAAGTATTCCAAATATATAACACAATCTGTTTTTCATTTTCTAATTACATTGTGGCATTAAGTTTCTTGAAAGGGGAAACGTATGGATATAAAATTATTTTTTTCTCTTTTTGAACTGTGTGAACTCCATGCATAGTAATGTTGGCGAAACATAAGTGATCACGTGCACCCTTAACCCCCCCCCCTGATCTCCGTCTAAAATTGATTTTATAATACATATTTATTTAGCGTTGATTTCCGATGCTGGTTCTTCTCCTATGTTTTCCAACCTAGCTGAAATGAATAGTGTCCGCCAGTTGTGTACTTCAATTTTCATGCACCTAATTAAATTCAAATGCATATGTGTGTGCGTACCTGTCCATATGATAGTGTTTGCCTTACTAAATGATTCCCCTCTTTGTCTTCAGTGCCAGGTCAACGGCGACTGTTGTGGAGCGTCCATATGCATAATGAACCAATGTCGAACATTCTCACTACAATTCAGATGCAGAAATGCAGGGGAATATGTAAGTATCTCAACTCAACCTTCTTCGACTGATTAAATACGTTTGATTATTCAATCTATGTCTTCAATAATAATGGAAAGAATTATCACTATAAGGCTTGAGTGATTTATAATGGGCTCTTTTAAAATGAATTGCAACCATAAAATATGGCAAAAAAAAATTATACATTGCAATTTTTCTACAGTGCAAGCGCCACAAAGACTGCTGTCTTGGATACTGCAAACAAGTTACAATGATGGCACCAAAGACGTGCGAGATACCCTCAGAAGGTATTGGTTGATTTCCACTATTTAACTTTTGTTGTGCTCTTTGCCGTGGCTTAATCAAATAAAATCAATTCTGTCCCATTTGTCGTCTTTGTCATTTTGACAAATATTTTTTTCTTGGAATTGTTTTTCTTTGGTGTACGGCAAAATTGAATTAAAAGAAATCAAACAAACCTTTCTTGTTTGTGAATCATGAAATCTTACATGTTGTCACAAGTTTAAATGCCAAAACTGCAAAATTTGCGGTCTCGACATCTCTGCCGATTGAAAATCGAAACTCGTATCGTGTTTGAATGACGTCAGTGTCACTAGGAGGAGGTACAGATGCATGTCGAGAGGAGAAGTAAAACTTCGGTCAAGAAATTAATCGAAGGCAAAGATTTGCACACTCAAAACATTTTCAATTTTCTGTATTTCATATCGCCACGATACACTCATGTTTTTTCCTTTCTTTTTTATCGTGGGACGATTTAATATCTCTGTTAAAACACTTCTAGAACTGTTGAATGGACTTAAATGTCTGGATGCACGCGATTATGTACCTTCGGGTAACTACAAGTACTCAACACTAACACACAGAAAGTTTCAAACAAGCTCTGTGTGTACACGAGTCTTATTTCCCGTGAATAGTTAATTAACAGTCCTGTATCTTCATATCTTTCAGATTTCGGGTTCTAGTTCAGAGTTGGATCCATGAAACAACGCATCGTCTCAAACCTGTCTCACAAGTCGATTCAACAACGAGAGTGGGGGCAACTCCCATCGATGAATTCCTACACCAGTGGATGAAAAAGACTTCGTTCTTTTTGGGTTAAGACTTTGACATTCTTTGACATTGGGTTCCGATTCTCAGCAGGTCTGGTGAATCTTCACAACTTGCGCGGTCTGCTTAACTTTTACTTTGTTGAACAGACAAATCCCTATTTATTGATCTGTTAGGTGCAAACTCGTTAAGAGCAATTGGTACCGCTGTCGCATAACACATAAATCATATATCCTATCTAATTTATTGAAAACATTCCTATTTATGAATAAAGTTCTGTTTATGTTTTGTTAATTTTTGTCTCAGTGTGCGTCATTCGCAGATTTGAAAACCGTTTTGTGGTTTGTGAGAGCACTTGTTTGTAGAAGCTTTTTCGCGGCGTCTTTACTAAATTAAAGTGTTTAATTCAGTGTTAATGCTACACGATATGCAAGTAGGAAACATTTCAAGGACGAACTTGATATATTCTGTAAGAGGTATTAAGTAGCTTCTACTTGCGGTCGTTCTCTGGTATAATTGAGCCATTACTGATACATAATTCTATAAAAAAATAAGTTACGAAGGCTGGAGGATAAGCACTAGTTGACCGCAAATTTAGTAGAGTAGCAAGCAAACGTGACAGACTATTATATGACAAGTGCAAATGTTGCGGTTTGCGACACGTGATTATAAAATGCTTTTTTTTATTCTGCAAAAGTGGCTGCTATCCGTCTTTTTGAAAGTAGATGATTTTTAAACTTCTTATTCAATATTATATTAGTAAATTCCTTACTCCGTTTTAGATATATTCGGTCATCGAAACAAAACGAATGCGACATGAAAAAAAGAAGGGTCTTTTAAACCAAACATGAGCCTGGGTTATAGGAAAAACTAATACTTGGGACCGAACACTCATTTTGCTGGGGGTCTTTGCCCCCTTGAAATTTCGTTCATGTCCATAGCATACATGTAAACATTGCCCATCTGGTGTCTTCACACAATAATAATAATAATAATAATAATAATAATAATAATAATAAAGTTGAGGTAATACCTTCAGCAACAAAAAAAGCAATAAACAAAGATAAATGTAGTTGGATTATCATTTATTATGTTAAAACTAAAATGTTTCATAAGCAAATACATTCATATCTATGTATATATCTAAATAATTTTATTCACCACGAAATTGTCTATTGCCAGATATTCCATACTAGTTCACATTATCTGGTATATTCCACCGTCTATTTCGGAAGTAAGTCTGAATCATTCATGTTCAAATAAAAATATGCAGTACGTTTTTCAGTTCCCAAGAACAGAAGCCCTGCACTGCCCAATGCTTGTATTTCTTTGAAAGATGGTTTACAGTCCCTGTACTACCATGTCTTCGCTTTGTTAGCCTACCGGAGGGGGAAGGGGGGGTTTGAGGGGGGTGGTGGGGGAGGGGGTACCATGGGTGGGGGTCCCCCCATGGACACAGGGGGTGGAATGGGTGGGGGTGGAACCCCCGGGGGAGGTGCAGGTGGGCCAGGAGGAGGACCAGGTGGAGGGCCACTTGGTAAACTCCCTGGTGGGGGTGGACCACCTGGGGGTGCAGGGGGTGGCCCTGGGGGTCCACTTGGTAACCCTCCTGAGGGGGGTGGTAAACCTACAGGTGGTGCTGCCCTAGGCGGTGCACTCTGTGGAGGGGGAGGTGGACCAGATGGTCTTGGAGGAGGAGGACCTGATAATCTGGGGGGTGGGGGTGGCAGTGAGGGGGGTGGAGGGGCCATGTTTTGTCCTGGTCTGCTCTGAGGTGGCATCTGCTGGGGAGGGGGCTGCTGGGCTGCCTTTGGGTCATGTTTGAAGGCAAACTGGAGGAAGAACTGGAAAATTAAATAAATACTGAAGTCAGATTACAGGAATTTTTGGGAAAATTTTTTCATCAAAATATCTAAAATATCGAATCTTTCAATAGTAAAATATCAGTTACAAAAACTAATCAAATTATGAAACATAATTCTAAGAAAGTTTTATTAACAACAACGATTCCTCAGAAAAGACGATTAGCAAAAACCTCATAAATCAATTATATTCATAACTGTGAAATTTCCTTTCTTCAGCATTAAGTGAAACATGAAATCAGAAACTAGGTACTAAGTGTCTTATTTCCTAACCACACTCAGATATGCTAACATGCACGAAGAAAATTGCTGTTTGTCAGATCATGTCTCTTTTAGTCTGAAACTTCCAAGCTAAATAATCGAAACTCCACTTCTGTCTGATTATGCACATTAGGGAATGGCAGCTAAATTATATCAGAGTAAAACATTCCTCATGCTTTCAATTAATCTCAAGTTTAACTTAACAAGCCTTTGTAGTCGTCATCAATACTCTTGAGGGTGTCACTTCATAAACCTTTGATTATTGCATGTGGGCATCACAAATAAGTGGAGCTATAGTTAACTAAGCCATTGTTAACAACCACTGAATGATGTTTGAAAACTGAGGGAAACTGGAGACAAAATTACACAGAATATGCATGCATACAAAGGGTAAGGAAAACTACTCATTTGAGCTTTCTCATTTAACATGACATTACATGGTAGGTGGTTAACAGCAGTTTGTTGGATACTACAACTGCACATTTTATTTCATCTTCCTCATGTGACTGAATTCAATGGTATATGTCTGTGTGTGTGTGCATTTTTCAAAAATAAAAAGGGTTTCACACAAAGGTGACTTGAAAAACATAGTAGCAAATCTATTTATATAAAATTTAGAAAGAGACTCATGCCCAAATTTATCTTACTCCTTAAACTTAGCTCAAAACCAGACAAGGTTCTGATCCTCTTTAATTACAACTAGGAGTAAGGCTTGATATAAGTCAGAATGGCTCGGTAATCTAAGAGAGAAGCCCAAATTTCATTATCTGTAAAATAGTTTCCTATCATTAACCTCTAGAAGTCTTACATTTTCAACCTAAAAACATGATACTTAATGAAAATTTACAAAATTGTATGACATTACAGAAACCTAAAACGTGCACATGCTTGGTGTTAACCTTGTGTGATCAATAAAAGTGAGAGATCCACAAATCAGTTACACAGGAACTGAAACCATCTTTCAGAGGTGACATTTTCAGTGTAACCCGTAAACTGTTGTCATGAAAGAAAAATACCTTTTCCAAACAGAAAAATATATTTCAGTGAGCACTAGCATGGGCTCTTGTATAGCATGTATATTCAAAACATTACTAATAAAACTTTACCTTCAATAAATGTAAGAAGAGTTGAAATACATTTACATTCATCCAAACCAAAGCACCTGTCACTAACCCCCCTCCTCCCCTTTCAGCAGGCACATTTTACCTGTTTTGTTTCTCTGTTCCAGTGAGTCCAAAACCTCTTGGGCTCCTTGTCAACCTCCCTGCTTGGGACCTGGAAAGCCAAGCATGTTACATTTCAGAAATATCATTCAAACAACACGAGCTGGTATCCATCTGGAAGAGCAGAGAAACATTTGGGGAAAGGGTGAACTGGGAGCAAAGCAATCTAAGTGGGAGTTGAGGGGTTGGCATGAACTTTGAGTGCACACATTGTTTTCCTATTTCTGTCTATACACAGCCGTTTCCAGTGCTTAGTAGGCGGGTCATGCAGGTGCTAAATACAACAGGTGTACAGGGCGGGTTCAGTTCAGTTCAACTGTAAATCAATGTGGTTCTCTTAATAACTCTATCGCAGTATTGCTTAACCTGATACATGCACTTACAACATCCCTAAAGCATTTCAGATGAGTTAATCCTGCCAAAACATTGTAGATTGCCATTTGGCTTTACAAGTGAAAAAGTAGTCAAACATTATTTATCTTAGATCATAATGCCATAACAACCCAATTACCATACAGACTGTCTGTAAGTCTGGAAATAATTCATTTATTTCATGATAATCTACATTCAGCATCTCAACTCAACATTTGTCCTGAGCAAATCAAATTCAGTTCCCATTTATTGCCAGACACAAGGTGCATTTCAACAAATGATTTCCCTGTGGACTTGCTGTAATCTTAGAAATGCTTTTATTATTTTGTCACAAGACAGAATACCAGCTGATATAATGTAAAGAAATGAGATAACACAGGACACAATCAATGTTTCAGATAAAGTTAGCTAAAAGGTAGGGGAATCACATCTACCATACATTCAAAGGGCCATTTTCCCAGTGCTTGAAGTGATTCCATTCAAAGACTCTGTGATAATTTTTCATTCATAAAATTTATTTGCCAATGGATAATATTCTGTTTTTCTTAATATAACTCGAGACTCATCCATCTGTTTAGCTAAACACAACAGGGGTAATCAACTGCACCGTTCTATATTAATGTTTTTCAGTATCTATGCTATGCAGGTTTGGTGCTAAATGGGCACCAATATAATATAATAATAATTCCATAACTGAAAAGGCTTGTCAGTCTGTCATGTGTATTACCATATGAGGAATTTTCTAATAATACAACAGACAGTAAAAAATTCATTAAACATCAGACCAGTTAATAAAGTGGAAGATTTTTACTGCACCTGTGCAAGTAACTCTCTGGGAAATAATCTGGACAACAATTAATCCATTTCAATATGATAGCTTCTGGTATTTGGTGCATTCATAAAGGTTCCCCATGAAAAACTTATTTGTGAATACAATGCATACACTGCAACATCTTAGGTATTTTTAAGTTCCATAATAAAGTCAAATCTATGCAACTAAGACTGACCAAACGACATCATGTAGTTTCAAATAGCATATAGAAATACCAAAGAGTATGGTCTTCTACTTCCTGAAAAACTATATTTGAACAAAAATTTTCTACTTTCTTTCTGTGCTATATATATATTTTGGTTCAATGACATTTAAATATTTATGCTATTGCGCATGCAGCAGTTATCCCTCACATTACAACATCAATTTGCAGACTTTTAATTACTGGATGGATGGATAAATAAGTTTAGTTTACTACCAGAAATTTGACGAAGGTGCAGTTTTAAAGCTTATTTTTGGCTGACTAAGTGATTAATTTTGTTTATTCTTTGGCATTTGAACTTTGTTTGAGTCATATAGGAAACAAGCAGTGTTTTTTTTTTTTGCTTAACAGGAAATCTATGCATGCTTCACATGTAACTTTAAGTAGATAAATAACATCTAAATGTAGTGCAACTTCTTGCATGCTTTATGCATTGCATCATGTAAGTTGTGAAATAAGTGTTACTTGTTGAAAAGGCCTAAAAAAGTTAAAATCTTCCATCCTTATAACCCAAAGACTAAATTTCACAGGAAATGGTGGAAGCAACTGAATGCACCCTACCTTAAAAGCAATAGTTTCATAAGGTTCAGCAGCAAAGAGCAGATACTGCCAGCTCTTGTCTGGTGGCTCCACCTTTTGTTCATATGCTGCCATGAATCGATGCCTTGGTACCACCCCTTCCACTATTTCTGGGTAATCAATCTGCATAAAGAACACATATATGTGATGAAAATATGTCTCCTATTTCATAAAAAATATATTTCCTGCTTCATCTTATGGCGATGCCCTGATGAAAGCAAAACATGTTACTTTAGAAAAGCAGAGCTAAGAACAATGCAAATCTTTTTTCGTGACAATAAAGAACAACACAAGCTTAATTATTTACCTCAAGAACATACAGAAAGCTAAGACATAGCCAATCTAACATCAAGGTACAAACATTCAAGATCAAACATTTACAAAACATTTTATACCTTTTTCTTTATCTAACTTTTACAGGTCCATATCCTATTTCGAAATCAATTTGATCTTGCAAATGCAATAATGCAAATCCTTTACTTTATATAAATATTTTAATTTCAAATTCACTTATTTGTACAACTTCAACCTCTTGGTTGCTATTTGCTTTAAATAAACTCATTATGACTGTCACTTACGTATTAAGGGTGAAAAATTGTCATTTACTTTTTTCCTGATTTATTCTAATTCAAACTGAAAATATTCATGTCTCACGGATGTCCCTTCCTGAATACATCAGGCTGTGATAATGTGTGGGCGTCACTGCTGTCACATTAGGAAGTCTCACACAAACTTTATCTGAAGTTTAACAGATATCATAACTCCTACGTAAAATAACTTGGTCAGGCAACCTTAATTTATCACGACAGGTTTAATTTTTTTTCTTTACCTGGAATAGTAAACTTTGTTGCCCATTCTCTGGGTCCCTTTGTTTGGTAACTTTATACCCAGGTCGTCCAATTTTGACAAATTTCTTTATTTCCACTCTTGCTCTCTCTGGAGCTGGCTGGGCAGGGGCATCTTTGGCTTCCTTTGCTGCACGACGGGCTCTATAGAGAAAAGCGAATGTTTTACTAAGTATCCAGTTGTATGTGGATTATACAAAAAATAAATAATTAAAAATGTTCATCTTTGTTTATAATCTGTTAAAGATATCATATATTAATCCTATGTACAAACACTTAAAAAACATCACCCTTGCTCATTGACAATGAGCACACTTTCACAGTTCATCCCATGTACTAATACCAAAAAAAAAAAAAAAAAAAAAAAAAAAATAGTTGCATGTCTCACATTCCCTATTCAGTGACAATGAGCACAATTTCACAGTTAATAATATGCACAAATACATAATAAAATGGTTGCATGTCTCACGTCACCTTTTCTCAGTGACAATGAGCACAATTTCACAGTTAATAATATGCACAAATACATAATAAAATGGTTGCATGTCTCACGTCACCTTTTCTCAGTGACAATGAGCACAATTTCCTGTGCTAAAGTAATGCATTAACCACACAGATTAAAAGCCAAGACAACACTTACAAGTTTGCCTGATGTTTCTTGCCCTGGGTATGTGCCAGATAACTGCCTTCATTATTGTGTAAAGTAAGACACAACTTGCACTCATATGAGCCCAAATGGTTTCTCATAAAATATGGATCCTGGAATAAACATAAACTCAATCAAAATATGCTTTATAGAAATTAAGTTTAAAATATCAAAATCATCAAGGTAGATTAACATATAAGTCTAACTTTAAAAAGTACATATTATTCTTTCGAGAAAAAAAACATTAACTGTACAAAAAAAATAAATCTTATGTATTAAGATTTTAAGTGTGAACTTTACTTAAATTTCAGTTAAATTCACTTTTTTTGCTAAAAAAACAATACAATCAGTGTCACAGAGCCTCTCTCTCTCTCTCTCTCTCTCTCACACACACTTAAATTATTTAAAAACACTACCTTATTTAAATCAATGGTCTCCAAAGCCAGCTGCCTCAGTCTCTCCCTCCTGTCTCTATTGGACTCTGAGGCAGAGGCCACACCCCCAGAGCCTGTCTTGCCACCAGCTCTGTGTTGGAAATCCATTTTGCCTTCCTCTGATCAAATGTGACCAGTAAGAGATCGAGTATTTTTTCACAAGAATCCTGAAACAAAAAGAAACATGTTGACAGCAACACATTTTCCTCACAAGACACTTCATGTATTTAATACAGCAATTAATATCTAGATAGCTTTTTAAAAATGCAATAAATGGTGCAAGAATATAAGGCACTTCACATTCAAGATATTTTAAACACATTATGTTTGTTGTGAACAGTTAAATCTATTTGTAATATCTCTCAGAGATCAATTAATATTGTGAATATATTATAACTGCATTAAACTAAAGTACTTGGGAAATGTACCTTAGTAGCACTAATTAAAAAAAAAATCACTGTCATATTAAAAATATTGACAATTAAAAAACTTAATCAAAAGAGGATAGTTGTCACATGAAGCTGAAAAGTTAGCTGAAAGGTTACTGATGATTACCAAGCATCTGCAATACACAATTCAACTGGAGATTTAAAAAGCTGAATTTCCAAATATTTCTAAAATAGATCAAAGAAATCTCTCTCTCTCTAACACACACACACACACACACACAAACAAGCTCCCAATGTTAAGAATATCCATTTACTTTACTGTGCCATACATGTCAATACCTATAATGCAGACTTGCAACTTTCAAAAGAACAGCCTTACAATGCGCTTGTTGTGACATGGTGCTCATTAGTTTTGAGTATTGTGCTGTGAAAGAACGGCATCTTGCGTTTTTTTTATTGCTAACTAAATTATTCATGAATGAAAATTATGAAAATTAGATATGTACCTTGTTATGTTAGATATGTACTTTGTATATATACAAAATAACGGTTCTTTTAAATTTAATAAAATGTTGATGCTTACTGGCCAAAAGGAAATGAATGTACTTTGGGCCCAAGCAGTTTGCCTATAGGACATAACTGCTGACAATAAAATGGAAAATTTAAAGACACTCTATTAGAAAATTATATCTGGACATTTACCAGTATTCAAATTCATCCAAAGCTATTCCACAGGACTACATTAAAACATTTTACACAATCATAAGTCATAATTGGTGAGTATATTTTCAAATTAATTCATTGGATTCGCAAAGATACTTGTGAAAGTCAAAACATAATTTTATTTGGAAAAACAATGAAAAGTAAAGACCAGTAAAGACCTTAGTCTAGACTAGTTGTAACTTAAGAAAGTGGGTGGCATACTGCAAAAATGCCCCCTCTTCCATTATAGGCCATGCATGGCTATTAGATTAAATCTGTTCAAAAATATTTATTAATTTTTGCTTGTTTAACGTTTTGGTATGGTTTCACAAATGTTGTTTAACTTACTTTTCAGGTTCATCAACAGAACAAGGTGACAGCCAAGTGTAGACTACCCAAATCACCGGCTTTTTGTTAACAGTAAATAAAATTATGGAATACAGTGTTTGATTCTTGCTACGCACCTCCAGCGTACTCCAAAATCACACCGTCTTTAAAAAAGTAAACAAGGCACCGTATTTAACCTTCCAGATATGTAAAAACAAAAGGAAATACAATGCAATGCTTACCCCACGTTATTCCGCCATGAGACACACTAGTGCGAGAATTGGCGAGATTGGCGTTATTACAGTAATAACCCAAAATATATTGATATCTTTATCAAAATAAAAATCTTAATGAAAAGACAAAAAAGCAGTTATATTCATTTATATATACTTATTAGTTCTAATGACTCAAATAAGGTAAAGTACGAGAAAAATATAAAGGAGTCTGGGAGTTTTGCATGCCAACACCAAACAATATGGCGGCAATGAGTTCGAGCAGGTGCCCGGGAGTTGGTGAATTTTGATGAATACATGCATACGAAGCTTTCATGACATGTAAGTAAAATGCAACACGGCATGGAAACCAAAGGTTAAGTCGCATTTTTGTTTGCAACATCACACATAAGTGAGATGCATGCATTTTTGGTCTTTGATAGTGATAAATTTCTGGTAAGGAGGATCAATGAGTCGATACGTGCAGTGGAATGAAAAAGACTTGGGTGCTTGTTTGATCACTTGCGTGGGTATGCGTCTATCACTTAAAATAAACATACATGATACATCACATGGATTTTTTTGTCTACCAATTTAACTTCCATGCCTGAATTATCCATGAATAATGGTTGTTTTGTAAATTTCCCTCACCAGTCTTCATTCATTTACTTTCCCTCTTCAATATTATTTAACTATCATAGCAGCAGGAGATGTACGTCATCTGATAAGCCATGTAATTAATATAATTATTATTGGGTTATAATTGCTCCTGCACTTAAATGTATATAGACTACTAGATTTCCATGTAAAAATGATTTCCATGTAAAACTATGATGGCATAAAATCATTGGGTATGATTAACATCTTTTTAAGGTAATGGTATGCATACATGTATCTTGTGAAGCTGGTGAAAAGTGATGTATTATGGAGCAGCGTGTAACAGATTCACCCAGATCAAGAGAACTAAAAGCTATTCGATTGAAGCGACTGGCTTATTTTAATGCACAACAAGGCAACAGTAGAAATGCAACAGTTGCAGAGAATTCACATAAAAATGAGTCTAGGTATGGATTAATTCCTGAAGGTGTATTTACATTTGAAATAAGTTGATTCTTCTTGGTATTACTCTCTCTTCTGGAATGCCCGATTAAGCTAAGCTTACCATAGGCAGCAAATGTAATCATCCTGCTCTCTGTCCCACCAGTCTGCCCATTGCATTGCACAGCATGTGGCTGACTTTGGAGAACAGAATGCTTATGTATATTTTCAGCTCTAGGTAAGTTTAGCTTTCAAAGAAGAGTTTTGCTATGAAGGATCAGTCTATGTTCAGTGTGAATGCACCTTTGGATAACAGATGATTGAAAACTCTGTGTGCATAAGTATAAAGAGACATTCTATTTGCTGTATTTAATACATGCATGTAGATTATCTTTTATCACTTGTGAAGTACAGTATGTTTGACCAGTAACTGGGATGAAGATATTTTTTCTTTAACAATCTTTGAGCTGCCTTTCATTGTTTTAAAAGGAGTATTTGATAGCATTAGCCAAGTGCAGTAGTCTTCCTTCATAGTTAGTTCTATAGGCTCACTTGATGCTTTCTTTTGATAGGTCAGAACTCAATAGATCGGGCCCTAAGTCCATCCAGACATCCAAGTATTATGACAGAGAGAATAGGAGGGACGTAAATGTAAACTCTTCTCCAATGAATAAAAACACAAGTACAAACCAGTTGAGGAATCCATATAGGAATTCAAATGACCACATTCGATCAAATAGCAAAGCAATAAATGAGAGCTCTACTAAACCAACTAGGAAACTTGATTTTTCAACAACAAGAGAAGCTCCCTATCATGGTAATGTGGAAGAGAAACAGCAGTTTAATGATGTCAAAAGTTCACCTTCTGTCATATCAAAAAAGAAGTCCCCAAACAAAGAAGCTGTTGAAGAAATATTCCTATCTTCATCGCGAGGGACTCCTGTAAAGCATAAAACAAACTCCCCAAGACCAGAATCTCCAGAAAAAATGCGGAGCTATTTTAACAAGTCTACAAAATTTGATGATGATGAAGAAGACGATTTAGGACTAGAAACTCATCGCCCAGACTCTGACAGATCAGAAGGGAGTCAATACATGATGCATAAGGGACCAGCAGGTCTCAGAGAAAATGTCAACTTACAGTATGAAGATTTCCATCATGCAACAAGGCAGACCAGTAAATTTGGCCAAGAGTATAAGGTTGTTGGTGACAGTAACAGGCAGCTACATGATGAAGCCCCTGTACCTACTGCATGGCCTAGTCAGCTAGGTAGAGATGATGTTCATCTGAGGCAGCCTGCTCAGGGTCATGGCAACTATGAGACTTCAGATTGGCAAAGAGATAATGGACGAAATGCTGAAGGTGATCAAGGTGGACCAGATGAAGCAGAGAACATCTTAGATTTTTATAAAAGAAAATATGGCATTGGGGTTCAACAGACAGCAAAACCGAAAACCACAAACTATGACAAGAATCTGATGGAACAACCTAAATTGATTGACAAATATGGACAGATAGTAAATCATATACTGGAAAAAGAGGCCAAGGCAAAACAGGAAAGGGAAATGGAAGTGTTTAATGAGTTTTATGAAAAAGGACTAAAGACAGCTCTTGGTGATGATAAGTATCAAGAGTATACTGAAAAGAAGAAAAAGCAACAGCGCTATCATGATGAACCTGATTTGACAGATATTAGAGTTTCTGCAGCTTGGAAACAGAGACAGAATACCAGAGATGATTATTATCACAAATATTCTTCAGATAAAACCAGTCAAGTTCCCAAGGCAGTAGATCCATCTTATTATAATGGAGGTGTTCGCCATGAAAGCGGCATAGAGCAAAAGAAAAGTAACCATGTAGAACATGGAGCTTATTCAGAAGAAGCACATAGACATTGGAACCAGGGACATTGTTCAGATGAAGAACAGCTGCAAAATGAATACAACTACAGTCAACATACCCATAGTGTTCCTAAGAGCCCAAGAGATAAGTTCATAAACAAACTACAACAATATGAATCACAATCACATCATGTGCCATATTATGTATCTGGGAAAACTGCTGATGAGGGAGAAGAGAACCTTGAATTGAAAACTCATAGACCAGGTTATGACCCAAATGATGAATTTGATGCCATATTTAGAACACCTCCAAAGAGTCACCAAGCTGCCAACCCTACTATTTCCAAACAAGCTAAGAATTTTGAAGAGATACTTGTTCCAGCTATTTCAGCAAATGTTGCTTTCTCAGCTGAAGAAATCTACAAGCAGGCAGAGAAATTTGGAACTGAAGACGATAGAGAATTTAGGAAGGTAAAACCAAACATGAAGCCAAAAGGAGCCAAGCAGCATTTGAAAAATCATACTCAGCCAGAGAAATATGAATATAAAAGCTTTAAGGAAGCAAAAGAAGATGCATTGATAAATCAAAAGAATGCAGTACCCGAGACCCAAACAAAATTACCGCAATGGGATCCGATCCAATATGATAGTTTCCTTAAGAAAGTGAATGAAGAGTTCCCAGGACCAGGAGGGCCCTCTCAGACACAGGGTTACCCTCAGATAGACCCTCCAGCCTATCACAGTATTTTCGGCAGTGGAATGCCCTCCCCCAGGAGACACCAGAGAACTGTTAGTGCCCCAGAGACACCCAGGAAGAATATGCACCTGGAAGCTGTTAGACAACATCATCAGCATAAGTAAGTTTCAGACCTACAGCCTGCCATATTAAAGTTATTTATTCCTGAAACCCCCAACTTGAGGTTTAGATTTAGAACATACTTTGACATAAGGTCTTTACCTTAGTGATACAGCTGTACACACCAGTATATTTTGAGAGGTTCTACCATCCGATTACCCTACAGAGGACTTTCTCCAGTTAACAAGTTTGCTTCCTCCTGTCCTGTCAGTTATAATTGGTTTAGTTCACAAAGAAAATCAATCCATATACCTTTTTTAGATACATGTATGCAAAAAAAAAAAAAAAAAAAAAAAAAGAGCTTTTATAAATTTGATGATATTGATAGGTTTGATTTTCTATGCTATAGTTAAGCAAACCTACAAATGTATGCCAAGAGTGATTTCTTTCCATATTTTTTCCTTTTACAGAAGAAGCACAACAAATGAGCAGGGTGCAGATGCTGGTAATACAGGTGAACAGGGGACCCTAACTCCAGCCTTCTCCAACTCATCTCTGGACAGATACTTCTCCTCTCTCAAAGAGATCAGCAGAGATGGAGAATCTTTCTCTGACAACTTTGAACCCATTCCTGAGCAGAGGATAGACCAAGATGAGGCGGCTCTTCATGAGAGTGATGGGGAGTTGAGGAGGAGTCGCGAGGTTCTGGAATTGGAGAGAAGCATCAGGGTTGGTGGAATTACTGAGAGGCTTCAACGAATGGGAATTGATCTGACATTCCTGAAAGATAAGGGTCAAAAAGAGCCAAAATCGGCAGACAAATCATCTGACAATCAGCACAGTGGCAAACATGAAAGTAAGGTAGACAGCACAAATTCTAGTCCTCCTCAGGAAGTTTTGGTATGTCCAGAATGTGCAGCATTGAATAAGACGTATCTCAGTTGGTGCATAGAATGCAGCTGTGTATTGATAGGTGTGGAACCAGTACCAGTTAAGCAGAAGAAATCTAAAATCCCCATTAGAGCTACTGAGAGCTCTAGTGTAGCAACTGCCAAGATGCTTAAATCTTCATCGGAAGCTTTTTCCCATCACAAGGCTCAAGAGAAAGAAAACGATTCTGATATCCAACTTGATGGATGGTTCAAGCCAAGAAATTTTACAGAGGACAGAAAACAAGCTTCGCACCAGGATGTTTTCAAGGAGAAAGAAAACCCCCCACCTAGCTCTGATTTGGTTGAGAAAGAAGAACTGAAGAGTCACCTGCCATCACATTTGTTTAAAGCTGTTGATGAACCAAACCAAGAAGAAACTAGTTCTCTCAAAAATGAAACTTTAAAATCTGAGCTTTCTCTTGATTTAAATATGAATGAATCCCCAGAAGAAGATGATGAAGATGACGAGAAAAAAGATGGCCACTCCCAATTTTTAAACTATTTTCAAAAACAGAAGGAAAAGCACAACAGAACAGTTTCTCAAGACAGTGAAATTGAAGTCATTGAAAGAAACAGCAATAGTAACTTTGCCATTAGACAGTCTAATGATGATGTCCCAAATCTAAATCTCTCAGACAGTGACAAAGACAGGGGCCCGATTTCTGACACAGATGATGAAGCTGAAGATGAAGGCAATAATGTAGGTGTAGTACCACCACTAGTTAGCTGCCAAGAACAAGCCCACCTTGGAGCTGTGGGTGGAGTGAACCACCTCAGTCAGGGTGGACTAGAAAGTAGTTCAGGTCCCAATGAGCCAGAATCAAATGCATTCCTAGAGAAACTCCATGAAGACCCAAGAGTAAAACCTGTTCCCAAGAAATCTGGAGACAAGTTGCCCAGCAAATCGAAACCAAAAGCAGTGCAGAGCAAGGTAAAGGCATCTATTGAAAATGAGCCCTATAAAAGAAAATGGGCAAGGTCCAGTTTGGCATGGTCATCTTACAATCCTGGAGAAATCAAGCCAAGGTCCAGTCTGCAGCCTAGTCCATCTCCAGGTCGACCCAGCAGTGCTAAAGGTCAAAGGAGACCCCAGGGGAAGAGCAGTGACAGCAATGTGGATACAGGGAGCTCTACAGAGAATATAGCACGTAGGAAAAGACCTTCAAGTGCTGTGGTGAACAGCAGTAGTCGCGAATCTAGTCATAAAAGACCTTCCAGTGCAGGCATAAACAGAAGCCAAGACTCCAGCAGGCAGAGACCTTCTAGTGCCAAAACACCTGCTGGATCGCAAATTGACCGAGTGTTGGACTCTGAGGTGAGAAACAGTAGGAGTGGTGTTGATGTGAGGCTGAGGAGCCCAACCAGTGGGGACAGAGGAATGGGTGGAGTAGACAGCAGTAGACAAGCTGGGAGCGGTGGAGCAAGACCCAAGTAAGTTTCTTAACAGACATGAAACTATGATGAATTTGTAGTTCTGACAATGTATAGGCCTTAGCTTATTTGTTGTTAGTGGTTGCCATTATTTTTTATAATTGTCAAGTGATTGTTTTAATCTTAAAGATTAATTTACATTTTTGACATAGTTCATTATACATCTCTCTCAAATAACAGTACATTGTACACTGTATGCGCATCCTGTATTATAAATTATAACATACTGTCATTATGCAGTCAAAGACCAACAACATCAAAAAAGGTGTGGTATCTATGAAATATATTTGCAAATGTGCTTATATCTTATATTTGGATTTTTGTAGGAATAGTGGGAACTTTGGTGGAGACAGACCTAGAAGTGGTCAGTTCTCCCCGACTCTTTCGAGGAGGGGTGACAGACCCAGGGGTGGAAACTACTCCCCCTCACTTTCACACAGGGAAATAGGCCAAGGAGATGGTGCCTTTTCTATCAGACCAGTTCTTGTGTCATCAGGTATAGTGGAAAGTTTTTGGACATTTGAGTATGATATAAGTGGATGATTTCTGTGGAAATGAAAATATATGAATGCAGAGGGTTGGCAGAAGTAATGAATATGATTACTAAATTTAATCATCCAACTGTACATTAAAAACTGAATATTACAGCCTTAAAAAAATTTGCCTTTTCTAATACATTTCAATTCAATTATCGCATGTTGATTCAATTTAGACTGCAACTTTTCTTTTTTAGGGATAGCAAGTGCAAGAACAAAAAGTGCAATGCAGACATATGACAGATATATTGAAATGGTAAGTTTGTTACAGAACCTTTCAAACAAGAGAAACATAAGAAAAATTCCTAAAAGTTGACCAGTATAGTATGAAAAAAAAAAGCTTTAAAAAGTGACATTTCTTTCTGCATGATAATTTGAGTTACTGTTGTCAGATGTTAATCTTCAACCCTGAAAAAAGTGTTAATTTATCCCTTGCTAATAAACGTGAATTTAATAATACATATTTCAGAGTCCACGCATCTTGGAAGGTGACTTTTCCATGTGGCTGTGCCTCCCTGATGAGATATGGCTACATATCTTCTCTTTCCTGTCACACAAAGAATTGAACAGATGCACTAAAACCTGCAAACATTTCCACAGAATAGGCAGTGATGATGCTCTGTGTAAGTATTTGAATTTGTTTTAGTCTGTTAGTCTACTGAGTACCCTCTTAAAATAATGATAATACTGCTTATATTTTAGTAACCAATTTGAAAATACAAAATACATAAAAATAAATCCTTTTTATTGTCTGAGATCCAGTATAATTAATAAAAAATCTGACCATTGTATAAACTTTAGATTGCATAGTTTTCAACAATATTGTTTTAAGTGATGAAAACTAATTTGGCCATGTACATTAACAATATGCTATTATTCCATACTATAGAATCTGTACTTTGATGTGTTGATTTCCTTCAGTAAACATTTAATATTATAAGGCCTTCTGTTATTTTGTTTACCTAGGGAAGCACATCTGTATAGAGAAGAAGCCACACTTCTTTGATGAGTGGTTGGTTGAGATAGGCCAGCACCACCCCTCTAGTCTGTCCCTCATACAGTGCCTGGGCAATGGGGTGACAGTCACTGGCCTCAGGGAGCTCTTCAGGCACTGTGCAACATCACTGCAGGTATGGTTCCTTTATACAAATTGTTATTTTATGTAGATTAATTTGATTTAGACATATTGTCTGCCTCTCATGAATGGTCTGCTCNTACAGTAAAGACCTTAGTCTAGACTAGTTGTAACTTAAGAAAGTGGGTGGCATACTGCAAAAATGCCCCTTCTTCCATTATAGGCCATGCATGGCTATTAGATTAAATCTGTTCAAAAATATTTATTAATTTTTGCTTGTTTAACGTTTTGGTATGGTTTCACAAATGTTGTTTAACTTACTTTTCAGGTTCATCAACAGAACAAGGTGACAGCCAAGTGTCGACTACCCAAATCACCGGCTTTTTGTTAACAGTAAATAAAATTATGGAATACAGTGTTTGATTCTTGCTACGCACCTCCAGCGTACTCCAAAATCACACCGTCTTTAAAAAAGTAAACAAGGCACCGTATTTAACCTTCCAGATATGTAAAAACAAAAGGAAATACAATGCAATGCTTACCCCACGTTATTCCGCCATGAGACACACTAGTGCGAGAATTGGCGAGATTGGCGTTATTACAGTAATAACCCAAAATAAAAATCTTAATGAAAAGACAAAAAAGCAGTTATATTCATTTATATATACTTATTAGTTCTAATGACTCAAATAAGGTAAAGTACGAGAAAAATATAAAGGAGTCTGGGAGTTTTGCATGCCAACACCAAACAATATGGCGGCAATGAGTTCGAGCAGGTGCCCGGGAGTTGGTGAATTTTGATGAATACATGCATACGAAGCTTTCATGACATGTAAGTAAAATGTAACACGGCATGGAAACCAAAGGTTAAGTCGCATTTTTGTTTGCAACATCACACATAAGTGAGATGCATGCATTTTTGGTCTTTGATAGTGATAAATTCCTGGTAAGAAGGATCAATGAGTCGATACGTGCAGTGGAATGAAAAAGACTTGGCTGCTTGTTTGATCACTTGCGTGGGTATGCGTCTATCACTTAAAATAAACATACATGATACATCACATGGATTTTTTTGTCTACCAATTTAACTTCCATGCCTGAATTATCCATGAATAATGGTTGTTTTGTAAATTTCCCTCACCAGTCTTCATTCATTTACTTTCCCTCTTCAATATTATTTAACTATCATAGCAGCAGGAGATGTACGTCATCTGATAAGCCTTGTAATTAATATAATTATTATTGGGTTATAATTGCTCCTGCACTTAAATGTATATAGACTACTAGATTTCCATGTAAAACTATGATGGCATAAAATCATTGGGTATGATTAACATCTTTTTAAGGTAATGGTATGCATACATGTATCTTGTGAAGCTGGTGAAAAGTGATGTATTATGGAGCAGCGTGTAACAGATTCACCCAGATCAAGAGAACTAAAAGCTATTCGATTGAAGCGACTGGCTTATTTTAATGCACAACAAGGCAACAGTAGAAATGCAACAGTTGCAGAGAATTCACATAAAAATGAGTCCAGGTATGGATTAATTCCTGAAGGTGTATTTACATTTGAAATAAGTTGATTCTTCTTGGTATTAATCTTTCTTCTGGAATGCCCGATTAAGCTAAGCTTACCATAGGCAGCATATGTAATCACCCTGCTCTCTGTCCCACCAGTCTGCCCATTGCATTGCACAGCATGTGGCTGACTTTGGAGAAAAGAATGCTTATGTATATTTTCAGCTTTAGGTAAGTTTAGCTTTCAAAGAAGAGTTTTGCTATGAAGGATCAGTCCATGTTCAGTGTGAATGCACCTTTGGATAACAGATGATTGAAAACTCTGTGTGCATAAGTATAAAGAGACATTCTATTTGCTGTATTTAATACATGCATGTAGATTATCTTTTATCACTTGTGAAGTACAGTATGTTTGACCAGTAACTGGGATGAAGATATTTTTTCTTTAACAATCTTTGAGCTGCCTTTCATTGTTTTAAAAGAAGTATTTGATAGCATTAGCCAATTGCAGTAGTCTTCCTTCATAGTTTGTTCTATGGGCTTACTTGATGCTTTCTTTTGATAGGTCAGAACTCAATAGATCGGGCCTTAAGTCCATCCAGACATCCAAGTATTATGACAGAGAGAATAGGAGGGACGTAAATGTAAACTCTTCTCCAATGAATAAAAACACAAGTACAAACCAGTCGAGGAATCCATATAGGAATTCAAATGACCACATTCGATCAAATAGCAAAGCAATAAATGAGAGCTCTACTAAACCAACTCGGAAGCTTGATTTTTCAACAACAAGAGAAGCTCCCTATCATGGTAATGTGGAAGAGAAACAGCAGTTTAATGGTGTCAAAAGTTCACCTTCTGTCAAATTAAAAAAGAAGTCCCCAAACAAAGAAGCTGTTGAAGAAATATTCCTATCTTCATCGCGAGGGACTCCTGTAAAGCATAAAACAAACACCCCAAGACCAGAATCTCCAGAAAAAATGCGGAGCTATTTTAACAAGTCTACAAAATTTGATGATGATGAAGAAGACGATTTAGGACTAGAAACTCATCGCCCAGACTCTGACAGATCAGAAGGGAGTCAATACATGATGCATAAGGGACCAGCAGGTCTCAGAGAAAATGTCAACTTACAGTATGAAGATTTCCATCATGCAACAAGGCAGACCAGTAAATTTGGCCAAGAGTATAAGGTTGTTGGTGACAGTAACAGGCAGCTACATGATGAAGCCCCTGTACCTACTGCATGGCCTAGTCAGCTAGTTAGAGATGATGTTCATCTGAGGCAGCCTGCTCAAGGTCATGGCAACTATGAGACTTCAGAATGGCAAAGAGATAATGGACGAAATGCTGAAGGTGATCAAGGTGGACCAGATGAAGCAGAAAACATCTTAGATTTTTATAAAAGAAAATATGGCATTGGGGTTCAACAGACAACAAAACCGAAAACCACAAACTATGACAAGAATCTGATGGAACAACCTAAATTGATTGACAAATATGGACAGATAGTAAATCATATACTGGAAAAAGAGGCCAAGGCAAAACAGGAAAGGGAAATGGAAGTGTTTAATGAGTTTTATGAAAAAGGACTGAAAACAGCTCTTGGTGATGATAAATATCAAGAGTATACCGAAAAAAAGAAAAAGCAACAGCGCTATCATGATGAGCCTGATTTGACAGATATTAGAGTTTCTGCAGCTTGGAAACAGAGACAGAATACCAGAGAGGATTATTATCACAAATATTCTTCAGATAAAGCCAGTCAAGTTCCCAAGGCAGTAGATCCATCTTATTACAATGGAGCTGTTTGCCACGAAAGCAGCATAGAGCAAAAGAAAAGTAACCATGTAGAACACAGAACTTATTCAGAGGAAGCACATAGACATTGGAACCAGGGACATTGTTCAGATGAAGAACAACTACAAAATGAATACAACTACAGTCAACATACCCATAGTGTTCCTAAGAGCCCAAGAGATAAGTTCATAAACAAACTACAGCAATATGAATCACAATCACATCATATGCCATATTATGTATCTGGGAAAACTGCTGATGAGGGAGAAGAGAACCTTGAATTGAAAACTCATAGACCAGGTTATGACCCAAATGATGAATTTGATGCCATATTTAGAACACCTCCAACGAGTCACCAAGCTGCCAACCCTACCATTTCCAAACAAGCTAAGAATTTTGAAGAGATACTTGTTCCAGCTATTTCAGCAAATGTTGCTTTTTCAGCTGAAGAAATCTACAAGCAGGCAGAGAAATTTGGAACAGAAGACGATAGAGAATTTAGGAAGGTAAAACCAACCATGAAGCCAAAAGGAGCCAAGCAGCATTTGAAAAATCATGCTCAGCCAGAGAAATATGAATACAAAAGCTTTAAGGAAGCAAAAGAAGATGCATTGTTAAATCAAAAGAATGCAGTACCCGAGACCCAAACAAAATTACCGCAATGGGATCCGATCCAATATGATAGTTTCCTAAAGAAAGTGAATGAAGAGTTCCCAGGACCAGGAGGGCCCTCTCAGACACAGGGTTACCCTCAGATAGACCCTCCAACCTATCACAGTATATTTGGCAGTGGGATGCCCTCCCCTAGGAGACACCAGAGAACTGTCAGTGCCCCAGAGACACCCAGGAAGAATATGCACCTGGAAGCTGTTAGACAACATCATCAGCATAAGTAAGTTTGAGAGCTGTAGCCTGCCATTTTAAAGTTTTTTATTCCTGAAACCCCCAACTTGAGGTTTAGATTTAGAACATACCTTGACATAAGGGCTTTACCTTAGTGATACAGCTGTACATACCAGTATATTTTGAGAGGTTCTACCATCCAATTACCTTACAGAGGACTTTCTCCAGTTAGCAAGTTTGCTTCCTCCTGTCCTGTCAGTTATAATAGATATTGTTCTTAAAGAAAGTCAATCCATATACATTTATAGATACATGTATGCAAAAAAAAAAAAAAAAA